GTGATGAAAATGATTTGATAGAGGGAGAGAAAGAATTTTCATAAAATATTTCAAGACCAGGAATATACTCTAATTCATCCGTATCAATTTCTACAATTTCTGTATCAGAATCAGAATTAGAATCAGGTTCAATTTCTAGTTTAGATTCTTCACTGTTAATTGATATATTTGGAGAGATAATCAGATAATGATCCTGACAAAAAGCTATGATATAAAAGTATTCGTATAGTAGCAATAAATTGTAATAATTGATCCTGTCCGGACAGTACCACAATAACACAGCTATTTTAGATTCAAATTGTTACTATACCGCTTCTACTTATGTAAATCAATCAGCCACTTTAGATGTGGATAACGATTTTCGGGTTCGCGGCACCTAGCGGTGATTTTTGGTACTATTAGATGAATATTGTAAAATACTTTGTACATGTATATATTTTTGGACTAAATTGGAATCAAATATTTTTTTATTTGTAACAAATCGATAACAAGGACATAGCAAGGTCAACGTGATGAAAAACTCGATATTATCTTTATTTATGCTTGATAAAGATAAAAAATATTGGATTTGGATTCATCGACCGTAAAAAATGTATACAGGTGGTAGTGGTTCTAAATTGATTGCAGTAAGTTTTATAAATTTGACCTTGAGAATGACTTAGACCCTGCCCTTGTGGGGTCAAAATATCTACGGTTACAGATTCAGCAAACCAAAAAACATATACATATATGTTTTCAAGAAGGTTACCATATTTTGTAGATTTGACCTTCAAATGACCTTGGCTCTGAGGTCATGGGGTCAAACCGACACCAGATTCAGATTCAGTGACCCAAAAAACATAAAGCGCATATGCTCTGGTCCGTGGGTTTTGACTTTTATTTTTTTTTGTGTGTAATAATGTATTTGTGTAGTTTTCAAATGTAAAGAATAAAGAAACTCAGATATCGCCGGTTGATAGCGCCCTTTGTAATATTTTTGAAGTAATATTGATATAGAATGACCAGATAAAACCTAAATACAGCTAAAAATAAAAAAAATTGTGCATTTTAACGTTTTTCTGAAATTTTGAAAATTTCAACATTTGGCCTTACCGTACCGGACCGGAATACGCCTCTAGGCTTAAGGGGTCTGACTCACCAACATCGCAACTTAGTTTGGCTCTAACTCAGGGACCTTAGACTACATTCCTATAGAAAAATGCGATTTTCAAATTTTTCAAAACCCCGGCCCTCTAAAGGTTAAATACATTTTTAATTTTAAACATGATCAAGCTACAGCTTAAAAGTTCTTTTTCAGTTGTAAAATAATTTAACTCTGCTCCTTTTAAAGTTCTAGATATAAATGTTATAAGTTCTTCATCGCCTTCATTATTTAATTGTGACAAGGCAGCGGCTATAGTATGATAACTAGCATCAATTGTTAATATGTAAGGCTTACTGGGATCAGGAAATTTTAAAGTAATAATATCAATAAATATTTTTTTCACATTATTAAAAGCTGTTTCATGCTCAGGTAACCATTGATAGCCTTTGCTTTATTGCAATAAATTCATTAAAGTTTTACATATTTCAGCATAATTTTTTGCAAATTTTGTTTAAAAATTAACAAATCCAAGAAAGCTTTGTAAGCTTTTCAAATTTTTGAAGTTTTATGATTTTGAATTATTTCTAATTTACTTTTTTGAGCTTTTATACCGTATGGAGTAATAATATGTCCTAAAAATTCAATTTCTTCTTGAACTCATTTAGATTTTGAGAATTTCAATGTATAATTATCTCTACGACAACATGTAAATAATGTTCGTTAATGATGCATACAAGTATGTTCATTGAATGTTTTAGAAACGCATAGTATATCATCCACAAACGGTATTATAAATTGTTTTAAATCACCAATTAACAAATTTAAAGCTCTTACTAATGCTGCTGTACTAGTACATGTACCGAAAGGTACTTCATTAAACTTGTAGATATTACCTTCGATAATAAATACCGTGTATTTTTTACTTTCTTCATCGAGAGGAATTTGCCAAAAACTACTTGTCAAATCAAAACTAGAAATAAATTTTACTCCGAAAAAATGTTGAAAAATATCATTCATATGCAGTGGGGCTTCATAATCTTTTACTAATTTTTTGGTTCGTTTTCGAGCATCTAAACAAAATCGTGCTGATCCGTCTTTTTTAATACTTATAACAATTGGATTAATATAATTACTAATTGATTGACGAATGACGCCATTCTTTAGCATTTCTTTGATTGCAATTCGAATATTTTTTCGATAATTTAACGGTATAGGATACTGCTTTGAAAAATATGGCTCTTTATCTTTTAGAATCAATTTATTAGTATATACTTTTAATAAACCTAATTTTTTACGAAATACATCTCTGAATTTGTACACAAGCGAAGCTATCTCATTTTTTTGAGTATTGGTAAGGTTAGAACTTGCATCTACTTTCTCATTAATTTTCCCTCGAGTTAGATTCACAGAATCATCATTTATGAAGCCTGCGTCTATTTCATTACGAGTTAGATCAATGAGTGGTGGTATGTCATCACAAACCTCCTCGGTCGATTCACTCGCACTCATGCTCTCACTGCCTCTGCTCTCAATCTAGCTCAAGCTCGTTGTCGATCCCGCCGCAACATGGCCATCGCTCGGTTCCCGCGTCAAAGTCGCGTCCTGTTGCAGCTCTTCGTAACTACCTCTCAATGCCTGGAAGGTAGGTAAGTGTGTGCGTGTATGTTTGTGCGTCAGGGTGTCCTACGGGTATAGACTGGGTGGCAAGCGCTGTTAGTTTGCGTGTGGTACTTTTTCTTACGAAGTCAGCTACCAAGATCAGCTAATTTTCCTGGAGAGTGAAGAGAGTATATGATTGACAGTGTTTAATGTTATGTTAATTGAATATTTTAAGAGATTGAATATTGAATATTTTAATATTGTAGATTGAAAAATTTAAGTATTTATGAGCTTCCCTATATCCACTGTCTAGATAGGTTCTAAATGTGAAGATTCAATTTTTATTAACTTCGAGCCTTATGACTTTTATACTATAACTTTGAATTTTACACTATCACGTTCGTAACCGTCTTATCATTCAACCTATATTTTATAATCTTGATCGTTACATGACATTATCCTCAATCTAAGATGTATCAACTGACCTTTACACTTCGATTTCGTTTATATTTAAATGCTGCAGCCTCCGATGCAATAACTTGTAACGATGTAGACTGGTCATTGCCTGCATCGGGTATCTTTCTCTATCTTTAACCTCAGGCAAAAGCTTACAGCTGGAATCAGGCGCATATTTGATCACGTGCTTGATATTTGCCTTTCTTTTTCAGCGATAAAGCTAGCTGTAACATCAGCAAGAGAGAGCGAGAGTATATCAACAAGAACGGTAGGCTAGACGCGCGATACTAACCGCGCTCGGCGGTGCCACGTGCCGCCGATATGGATAGAGAGTAAAGGTAGAAGGTGTGAGCAGTTAGATCTCATACACTCGTCAATTGTCGTGAGGACCTACTAATAACCGGCCGCACTAGAGAGAGAGAAGAATATCTTTGTCGCTGTGGGTTTATCAACAGAAGGGTTCATCCTTTGGGGCAAGCCTTTCTGCTATCCTGTCGATATATCTACGAGTCTTTTTACAAATCGTTAGAGCCATCCTGCTAAGTCATCATCTAGCCTATAAGTCACTTTCTTTCCTCTCATTTTCTCTCTTTTGTTTCAGCAACTCGTGGCTTGTGTGCTGCGCCAGGCTCTTACGATCCGGCACTATTATTAGTTTAATAATTCGGTTAATTGTTTAGGTCAATGGACGAGATGGCAAGGCTTTCACGTGCCGGCTATCTCTTCCTAGAATAAGTATTTATTAAGTTAGATTAAGTTGTAAATATGTCTCAGTTAGCACTTACGAAAAGGCTTTTATAGCACTTAGAAAAAGAGATTATAGTGAATTGTTTGGAATCATTGTAACCGCCTTTCCCTGCCTTGCTGAGAGCGATACACTGCTTCCTTTACCTCCCCCTTTAAATAATTGGTAATCGAAAAAATCGTCGGTCTTTCACGGCCGACGCTGTTACAAGCTTCTAGATTTCTATCTACTTCGAGTGTTAAGATGCTATAAGCTTGAATTTTACATCGAAATTTCCATAATCGTAGAGTGTTGTACCTTATGATGCTATTATCTCAACCCATGAGATCTACTATCTACGCTACCATCCGCGATTTTGTAACTCCCGATTCATTAATTACCTTGATCCTTAAGCCACGTTACATACTATGCTAGAACAGTCTATTTGTCAATTATAATTTGTAACAAAATACGACCTCTTAAACCTAATTCATTCAATACTCGATCTTTGTAACTATGAACGCTACAACTTTCTTATTCTAGAAGTTTTTTAATAATCGCGATGTTTATACTTTTAGCTTAGAATATCTATAAAATTTAAAATGATGAACTAATTCTGAGTATAAATTCGTAATCAGCGCATCAAAATTTTTGGAATACATTAAGCTTAGACTCTTGTTCTAGATTATTCTTAAGTTTTGTTATTGAAATGTTTTAATTCATTCCTAACAATATTTTCATTCTTCTCCTTAGAATTTATATAAAATCATATATTTATATTTATATATGATTTATATATATATTTATATTTATATATGATTTTATATAAATTCTAAGGAGAAGAATGAAAATATTGTTAGGAATGAATTAAAACATTTCAATAACAAAACTTAAGAATAATCTAGAACAAGAGTCTAAGCTTAATGTATTCCAAAAATTTTGATGCGCTGATTACGAATTTATACTCAGAATTAGTTCATCATTTTAAATTTTATAGATATTCTAAGCTATAAAACAGTAAACTGTTTTATTATAAAAAGATCTATTAAAAATAGTTTTGAATGAAATAAAATGGTTTGATATTTTTTGATGAAACTAAATAAATCATAAAACAAACAAATATCTCAACATACTTACGTTTTTGTTTTCGAAATAAATAAATCCTGAATATAAAAAGAATTCTAAATTACTCCGCGATCCATAGTAAATGAAGATCTGATCATCTTTTCTAAATTTTTTCATTGCATAACATTTACAATGATTAGATTCTAAATCAAAATCAGTTGTAATCTGAAAAAAAACATATGAATCATTATCCCATTATTTAAATATAAAAGAAAACCATTTACAAACTTGAATTAAAATCCATAACTAACAAGAGTATAGTCTTCCTATATTAGTATTACAAAAAAATGTTAATGAATAATTATAAAACCAAACCAACAACGAAGAGGGAAGTTTGGTCGGTAAATTACACAATATATTCATTCTATTTTCTAGTGAAATAGTAGAACAGTTCGTTACCATTGAAATAGTCCGATTAAAATGCTTTACTTATTGACTTTAATTTTGGCTAATAAATTAAATATAAAATGGTATACTATAATTGGCAATCGAGCGTTAAATTTTTCTTAAGATTTATTGGGATCCCAATCTAATTTATACTAAAAGAACATTATAAATTTTTTTAAATAGTAGTATAAAAGATTACTTCTAAAAGTGAATTATTAAACCTAATTAGATATTTGATGTATACAGGGTGTCCCATTTTAAAGGAACCATCCCGAAATTTTCGACGGTTGGCGTTGTACAAAAAAATTGTTCAGACATCAGTCGTTTGGGACAATGGGGGCAACCTTTCTGTGAAATCCTATTTGACCTTGAGATTTTCAAGGTCATTTGAAGGTCAAAGTCATTTTTTGAATAGGAACCTATATTTTTGATCCCGGATTCGGAAAGAGCGGAAAATTCTACGTTCAGATAACGTATTATGTGTGGGGTGCAATTAACCACCCCCCTCGCCTAAGGTCATGTACGGGTCAAATTTATGATTTTCTTCATCTATGCACAGGGATGATCGGGCAAGAGTAAGGTTAATTGTAATAACCCAATAACTCGATAACCCAAATGACCCAATAATCCAATAACCCGATAACCCTAATAATTCAATAACCCCAATATCCCAAAAAAATTGTAGGGTCAAACAACAGTGACCTTGAGTTTAAACTTCAGGTTGATTTTCAAAGTCGACTTCATGTATTCAAAGCCTAATATTAAGCCTGTACTAACCTCACCCTTGCCTCGGTGGGATGGGGGGGGGGGGGGGTGAACCGCTCGCCCAACATAATACTTTATCTAAACGTAGAATTTCCCGCTCCTTTCGAATCCGGGATAAAAAATGGTGGTCCTTATTCAAAATATCTCTTGGTTATTAGGTTATTGGGGTTATTGGGGTTATCGAGTTATTGGGTATTGGAGTTATTGGGTTATTACAATTAACCTTACTCTCGTCCGATCATCCCTGTGCATAGATGAAGAAAATCATAAATTTGACCCGTACATGACCTTAGGCGAGGGGGGGGGGTTAACCGCACCCCACACATAATACGTTATCTGAACGTAGAATTTTCCGCTCTTTCCGAATCCGGGATCAAAAATATGGGTTCCTATTCAAAAAATGACTTTGACCTTCAAATGAACTTGAAAATGATCTCAAGGTCAAATCGGATTTCACAGAAAGGTTGCCCCCATTGTCCCAAACGACTGATGTCTGAACAATTTTTTTGTACAACGCCAACCGTCGAAAATTTCGGGGTGGTTCCTTTAAAATGGGACACCCTGTATACAGGGTGGTCCATTTTAATCAAAGGAGTCGAATAGCGAACTAAGAATGCATGACATCGAAAAATAACCTGCATAAAAGTTGTAGGAGACGAAGGGATCATTTAATGGTGACCTTGAAGTTGACCTGGAACTTGATTTTCTAGGTGCTTTGAGGGTTAACTTCAAAATTCCAAATAAATTAATTAAGGTACTATATGTGAGTTCTATCAAACTCCCAAAATCGTGTAAAAGTCATTTCTTATATTTTTATCTTCCAGTCGCATGACTTGACAAATAATGTTTCATGTCAAAGTTGCTCAAGTTAGATAGGGATCCATTTTCATGACATTATATTTGATATTGGTTCTCATGTTTGAGGTCATTTAAAGATTAACTGTAAATATATGAATACAACTGATATTTTTTATCTCGAATTGGGAAAATGCGAAAATTCTGCATTTAATCGAGATGACATACCTGAAGTCCGGGTTACATCCCTCTCTCTCTCTCTCCTCTCTATGATCATGAATAATAGTCATTTTCTGAAGGTCAAAAGAAAATAATAACTTCTATAATAGCTGTTTTATTATGGGAATTAATCTAAATATTTTTTACATAGTAGTTCAAAAAGCCAACATCAGCTCACTAGGAAAGTAGTGTGACGTCGGGGTCACTCTCAGGTACGCTTGGAGTAAGCGTAAACTCAGGGTTGCTCTGATTTGGCTATCGTGTAACACAGAAGCTGGGACGAGCAATATTGTTGCGTTGAGAAAACTGTATGCTAGCGCGGAATGTAATAACCAAATGTTATTACGAACACACCAAACTCACGCTTAATGTGTTCTTAAGGGACATTAATGAAAATTCACCAGACTCACGCTTAATGAATTTCCAAAAAAACGGATTGCTTAAAGAAAGAAAAGGATAGCCAGATATAAGGTTTTACTTACTTTTATTTTATTTAATTATTTATTATTATGGCTGCGCTCTCTCTGCTCTTTGACCTCTTTCTCTCTCTTTCTCTCTATTCTGGATGTAGTTGGGTGACTTCTTGATTGAATTTTGTCTGACTTCTTCAAAATTTTCTTCTCTGATGCTTCCTCCAGCACTCACTCACTGGTAGTCACTTCTTATTAGGCACTTCCTGGTACTCACTCCACTACCCTGCTCCAGTCTTGTACAGAGCTTTTTATAAGCAGCGGGGGATTGGGTGGAACTCCCTTCCCTCAGGCCCATGAAGCGATAACAGCCAAATTTTGTATTGGTGGGAAATTTTCTAATCATATCTAGAATTTCTTTATTGGTCTGTGGGCGTGAATTTTCAGAGAGAGAAAGGGCGGTCCCTTTTTAACTTGGGCAATTTTCTCCAGAGATGGCTCTCGGAGTGCCACTTTTAAGAGCAAGAGTAACGCTATAGTTTATAATTACTTCGACTAAATCGTACTAAACTTAGTTAATTTTAACGATACATACTGATTATTACAATAACTTAATTTAGAAAAATCCAAACCTTCTATGATTTATTATAAAATACATTATTGTTCTAATATAAAAGTATTTATTGGTTATTTGGTGACTAAAAAGATGCGCATTATAATAACTTACAAAATTCATGAAAATCTATTTAATATTACGGATATTTTCTTTAAATTCGGTGGGAAAAAAAAGATAAATTGCTTTTTATGAGCCCCTTCCATTATCAGCGTGATAACGTTTCACGATGTATACGCGAAGATCGTAGGCTCCTGTCAACACATGCGCGTGAGACAAAGCAGGATAGAGCGTCGATTGTAAGGCCGAGTACGCAGGCTCGGGCCACTATCAAAGTTTAAACATTTTATTTCGAACGCGTTTTCATCGTGGGAAATCAGGAAGGTTCCCACTCCGTTCGTCATATTTAATAATTGAATTAATCAAAAAAAAAACTACGTTACGGCTAGCCGTCACAGTAGCTTATAAAATTAATATTAAGACATTTTTTTTTCTTTTTTTATGCTGCTATATTACGTGATGAATACTAGAAACATTCATAATTCATACATTTTTACCGGTTATTCCTCCAATGTTCATGACCTGTATGTCAACAGAGAAATTCTATGCAGAGAAATCATGACGCATGAAAAGACTCCGACGATGCTACGAAATGCCGACATTTGTTACAAAATTTATTACAAAATGCATATACGTATATGTAATATATTTTCTCGATAATTGTAAGTATATAGCATTTCTAACGTTGTCGTTTATACGTGTACATATATCATGGCAGACACGCCTATTCGTGCCTAGTTACACGCCTGTTAGTAAACAATAGCTCAATCGAATCTAAATTCATACTGCTTGAATGACGAAAGATTGGAAACAAATGAATTAAACGAAAGAAGGAATGGAAAAGGAAAAGCCAAAATTGTCATAGCATTGGTAAGTCGGGACATATTATTTCGACTGCCTTTAAAACTGCTTCGCAAATTTCCCCGCGGTTACTATAAAGTTTAATACTTAATAGTATAGCAATATACGATCTTTAAGCTTATAAAATGTGTGTAGATGCGCCATCGCTTGCTCGTGTTCATCATGCCATAATTTTAATGATTATGTAAAATACTCGTACTAGATCAAAGATGTAAGAGAGACATTCAAATATTATACATAAAAATTATTTCCACTTAATTTATTATTGACAACGTTTCGCTGGTTTGTCTTCCAGACTCATCAGGTCCTTTATTCAATTTTACAATAAAATGGTAACAAATCGAATAAAAAAAACACACACCAACGCAACTGAAGAATTTTTCAAGATTACTCATCCATTGCTATAAGTCAGCAAAAATGTATTTTAAATTTTGTTAAATAAAATAAACAATATAGTTAAGTTACTACTCATGATATAATAGACAGCAATCAAAAAAAGCAATACAGAATGTAAGCAAAAAGTTAAACGTCACAAGTCAAACTGAGAAACAATGAGAAAAACACGCGTACAAAACAAAATTATTACTATTATTAATATATAGAATTATTGATACATTGCATAATTGATATATTTGCTAATAGTTCTATTAATATATAGAATTATTAGCAAAGTCTATTTTTAATAAAACAAGGATACAAAAATATTACATGGATCAATAGCTTATGAAATAATATAATATTACATAACCTGGATAAAAGTGCTATTATTATAATAATTTTATTTTTAAAACATCATAAAACTTTGTAAGTAATGATTACAATACAGGGTGAGTCATTTTAATTTCCCCAGTCTAATAACTTTTGAAACAAGCAAATTACGCAAAAATGTTTCAGACCAAAGTTGTAGGGGTTCAAGGGGGACATCTAGGGGTGACTTTGAAATTGACCTTGAGCTTGACCTTGACGGTTTTCTCAAGGTCATTTCTATTTTTTTAATGGAAACCCCTATTTGTGATCTCAGGATCAGAAAGAGTGGGAAATTTTACGTTCAAGTA